AAAAGAGGCTATGCCGAATTAAACGAAAAGGGACAATTTGTTCCTACTCCCTTAGGGATTTCAGTTAATAATTGATTGCAGGAAAACTTTGCCTCCCTGATAAATGAAGGCTACACTGCTGCTTTGGAAACTGAATTAGATAAGATTAGTCAAGGGGAAAATAATTATTATGATTTTATTAAGGAATTTTGAAAAAACTTTTCCTTTTCGCTGGAAAGAATTAGTAAGTAAAGGTTAGAATAATACACACATTTTGCTTTAATTAATTTATAAATAACTCAAATTGTAGTTAATCAGCCGACCCAGATACACCACCAAGAAGCAATTCATAACCAATAACCAACATTACTAACCCGAGCAAAAGAACGAGAGGAGCGACGAAATAAATCAGGGTGAAAGGCCATAAACATGCAACAAGCGTGAAGTAAGCCTATGGCCAAAAGCAAAAAAGTCCCCCTTCGACCATCGGACTTTAAGCCTAATTTTTCACTTGGTTTGGTTGTAGTTAATGATAATTATGGTTCTTGGTTTTGCCGGTCTTTTATTAGGAGCATAGTATTTTCAAGAGAAGTTCCTAAGCATGTTGCATATTTTTCAAAAAAAACTAAAAATTAGTCATATGATAGAAAAATGTGACATCTGCGATAAGGAAATAGGAGTTAATGGTCAAAAATACTGCACGGTTAGTTGAAGAAGAAATTGGGAAAAACTTTTTGGTCGTCGAGGGAAAGAATTGCCTTTAAAAGGGGAAATCTGCCTATGCCAGGAGCATAACAGAGAATATGAAAATGATTGTCGTGGTAAAGAGGAAGAAGCGCAACAAAAGAGAGATTACGAAAGAATATTTGGAACCCAAGCACCAACTATTTCCCAATTGCGAAATTATTACTTGAAAGAGGAAAATATTTTTGGAAAAAATGATAGTGAAAAATCGCAAAGAACGCTTAGTTTGCAGCACAAAACCATCCTTCAAGACCCCTTGATTGACAGTGAGGATGCCATAATAAGTGCAACTCATTTAATTAGTTATAGCGGTTTAAAAAAGGCTAATTTGAACGATAAAGAACTAGCAAAAGAAATTAAAACTGATTCTTATTTTTGCGAGAAGTTAACCAAGTTTCATAATTCTCCACCCGATAGTGCAACGGGTAAAGTATGGCAAGTATTCATTAAACATGGCATTCCCCTTGATAAATATTGAAAGCATTTGGAGAATAACCAGGAGAAAAAACAACAACAAAGCCAGTTTACTAAACAAAGAATAATTAATAACCTCCAAGTTTGAGGAATAGAAGTTTACCAAAAGGAGGGAAAGAAATCAACATTCGACCGGATTATTAACCAAAAAAATAAATTTG